CTGCAGGTCGGTGGAGCCGCCAGCCCACGACACGGGGCACAGGGTGGGGCCCGGGAAGGACGGCGTGGGGAGAGCTCTGGGGAGGGGGAGAGCTCTGGGGAGGAGGAGGAGGAGGCGGTGAGAGAGGGAGAGAGAGAGAGCTCCGGGGAGGAGAGAGAGGGAGAGAGCTCCGGGGAGGAGGGGGAGGGTTTGGGACAAGGGGAGGGGGAGAGGGGGCGACCTGCCGGACAGCTAGCCGTTTTAACACGCGAGCAGAGTATTTTTAATGCCAAATTTCAGACCAACTTCCGTCACATGCACTTTCGCATCCCTGAGGCCCCCCAGGGGGTAGTTTTTGCAACATGGGTCAGGGATGTGATACAGTCCATGTTGGCGCAGTCGTGGGTCGGTGTTGACGATGACGACCACGTGGCTATTGAGGTTGCCGTGCCCGACAATCCGCGTGGCGTTTTTCACATCCCTATGGTGCGCAAAGGAGACTTGCACCCCGATTTAATCCTGGACCGCATCGAGGCCATGTCGCAAAGTAACATGGAGCTGTTCCTGTCCGGCGAGGCCAAAGTGGAATTCATTACGGCCAAAATGCCCCGCGGGGAGGGACGTGTGAGAGCACTGCTTTATTGCGAAAAAGACAAATTTGTTGAACACAAATACAGCATGTATGATCCGCCCGGGGACGATAATATGTGTCTGGTGCGCGCCGTCGCTGCAGGTATCCTTTGGTGCGACGACCAGAAGAAGTTTAACACAGTAGTGCGACGCCCGGAGCCTTTCAGGGCGGAAATGAGAATATTGGTGAAGGAGTCGGGGGTGGTCATCCCCCCGGGAGGTGCGGGGCTTGCTGAGCTGCAGGTCCTGCAGCGGGCCCGCCCAGACTACAATATTGTTCTTATACACGACCGTCTCGCTACAGAGTTTACTTTTGAGGGGAATCCGCAGTCCAACAAGCGTGTGTACCTGTATTTGGAGGAGAACCACTACTATGTTGTGAAGAGTGTTACAGGCATGATTGGTGCAGGTTATTATTGCCACGAGTGTCGCTGCGGATTTCGCGCAAAAGGGCACCATTTTTGCGCAACAGACTGTCGTAAGTGTCTGCAGAAGGGTGGCAACTGTCCGGCGAGACTGGGCTACCGCAAAGTGTGTGACACGTGTAAATACACGTTCTTCAACGAGGTTTGTTATGAAAGACACAAGACGGCCCCTCTTTTCACAAGAGATCGTCCGCTTTGTGCTGTGCGGCAAATCTGCGCCACCTGTGGTGTGTTTGTGAATCTGCGTGACGCCAAGCCCGGCGTGAAGCATGAGTGCGGCGAGGCTTTCTGCGGCGTGTGCCGCAAAACTGTCACAACAATAGACCATGTCTGCTACATGCGCCGAAGGGAGACCCTTCTGCAGAAGAGGGAGGCGGCCAAGGAGGAGTATCGTGGGAAAATGTTAGAGAAGGGCGGTATGACTTCTGCAGAAATTGAAAAGGCTGTTCACATGCA